ATCTTCTTCATCAGTGATCTTTAGTGTCCTCTCAGATTCTCCTTCTGCTTCATCAAGTGCAAAATTTGATATGTATCTTGAGAGTGAGTCACTATCTTCAGCTTCATTTGGTTCTTCAAAAATGGCTATTGGAGTTTGAGAGACCTCCTCTTCTGCCATCTGAGATTCCCTCTCAGCTTTTCCAGAGTGCCTTTGGACTTCTACTTCTTTCTCCATAATTTCTGGAATAGCTAACTGTTCCGGAATTTCTGCTGACTTTTCCAGAATCTCAAGTTGTGTCTGATTGAAGTTCTCACAAGGAGTTGTGAGGATCTCAAGCACTTGAGATTGGATCAGTCGCTGAAATTCTTCTTCTTCAGTTGCTTCCTGGTTCTGCTCTTGTGGGGGAGAGGCTGCCTTCTCTTGAACAGTTTCAGTCAGAACCATTTCGAACGCAGGTGAGGTTTCCGTAAAGATAGGGAAATCCTCAGCAGTTGTTTCCAAAACAGCTATTTCTTCAGAAGTGGGAGCCATTTGATCTTCTGTGGCTTTTGAGAAGACTGGCTTGTAGACTGCAGTATCTTCATCATCTGCTTCAAAGTCTGAAATTGGTGTAGTGGCCAAGTGTTCCAGATGCAGATCCTCATTGTTCCTTTGCCATACCCAGTAGTCATCCAAGATGTCTTCACAGCAGTGGTTGACTGGTAATCCTAGGCATTTCTTGATAATCTTTTCATTCTTCAGCTGTTGGTCCCAATCCAACAGTTGCTCTTCTGAATTTCCAACTTTCCAAGCTCTCCAATTATAGTAGAGCTGCCAGAATTTGTTGTTAGCGTCATCTGTATGAGGCTGAGATGAGGTTGGAAGGCTTTGGACTGGAGGGATTTCTTGTTCAAATTGTTGAGGGCTCTGGTTTTGAATAGAGGTTTCCTCAGCAGTTTCCCTCTCCTTCAACTCATCCGAATCGACATCTTTGGATGTTGATGAAGAGTTGATCTTTCTCTTCTTCTTCCTTTGAAGTTCTCCATGGTCAGAGACTTCTTCTTCTTCCAAACATACCAAGGCAAGATTCTGTGGTGCTTCAATGGAGGGAGAGGGGGACACCACTTGCTTTCTTTTGGTAGTCTTTGCCATATGGATGAGTAGGACATTATCTGATGAGCTATCTTCTGCAGTGGTACTGGCACTGGCTCTGTTTTCTCCTTTGGAGGATAAGTAGTATAGCCAGTATCTTTCTCCATACTTCTTTCCTTTAGAAGCAATACCCATAGACTCCAAGATATGTCCAAGGTATAGTCCTTGACAAAGATATTTCTGGTTGGGCTTTCCCAGATGCTTTGAGATGGAATTGAAAAAGTGTGCAGCCCAGTTTACCTTAGTTTTGGTAATGAGAGCGTTGATGATGAAGGCTCTCTCCTGGGTGATGTCATCGGCATGACCTCCACTCCCACATTCGAGGCAGGCGATGACCAGTTCCAAAATCAA